TGGCAGAGTTTTTCAAGGCAAATATGATAAACATAAAATATTTTTTAAAGCCTACAAAGTATTATAAAAATGAATTAATTTTCCTAATCATTACCAAAACTTTACACCCATCCGATTATAAAATATATGTGTTTGCTTTTATTAAATTTAATAGAAAAAGTGTGAAACCATTGATGGTGATCAAACATCATGAAAGTAAAAGCTAAATGGAATGCTCATATGATTTAAAATAAAATGGATTCCTTTCTCACTGTTTTCAGTGAGACAGTCAGATATGGCTTACTCGGACCCTGGATACCCACATCTTATGCTAACATCAGAAATAAATGCATAGTATACTATCTTTTCCTATTTTTATTTTTATTTTTTAATTTTTTTTATTGATTAAATTATTACATATGTGTCCTTATCCCCACATTATCCCCTTCCCCCCCCCCACTCATGCCCTCACCCCCCTGTTGTCTGTGTCCATTGGTTAGGCCTATATGCTTGCATATAAGTCCTTTGGTTGATCTCTACCCCTTACCCCCACCCTCCCTTACCTTCACTCTGAGGAATATCTTTTTTTTTAATTTGGAAAACTTACACAGAATGAAATAACTGAGCCACATCATGATGTCTGTTGAGTGCCAACTCTCTGTGCAGGGCCTGAGGTCAGTGTGTTGCATCCATTATCTCGCGAAGTAATCACAGTGTCAGGGAGGATATTTGCAAGCCTTTGAATCACACCAGGCCTCTTCCCCTCTGAGCCTGGGAGGTGGTAAATGTCACCTTGCCCCCTCTGAGTCAGGCTGTCTTCCAGAACTCTGAACTGCACGAATCTAGATTTGTGAACTCCAAATATCTTCCTAATTTGGAGCAGCCTTTTGATGTGTTTAAATATATGGTGAATCATCATTACTCACAGATTCTGTATTTGTGAATTCACCTTCTTGCTAAAATGCATGTTTAACCCCCCATTCAATGCTTGCAATGCTTTTATGGTCATTTGTGAACATGTTGAATACATGAGAAGCCCAGTGCTCATAAACTCAGCTGATATGGGACGAGGAGACACGCGGCCTTGTTCCAGCGCTCAGACCGTAAATGAGGGTCCTTCCCGTGATATATGTATTTTGTGCCAATTTTGTTAATTTTTGTATTTTTTGTTGGTGGTTTTACTGTATAAAGTGACCCCTAAATGTGGTGCTGAATGATGTCTATGCTCTTACTGCTCAGAACACTGTGATGTGCCTTTTGGGGGAAATATGTGTTGATTAAACTCCACTTAGGCATGAGTTATGGTGCTGTTGGCTGTGAGTTCAATTTAATGAATCAGCATTATTATTAAATAAGGTGTTTTTAAACAGAAACACACATAAAACAAGGTTTTATATTAATTGGTTAATAAAAATGTTGTAACCAGAGGGAATACAGGAACCTAATCCTGTATTTCCTTTACAAGCAATACTTAGTATTCTCTAATTCAGTGTTTGTGGCAACTTCATAAAATACAACTCCCCCAAATAATGAGGATCAGCTATATCCAGAGACACCATCGAACTTGACTTTCTTAACTGATGGTTTGATGTCTGATAATCTGATTACTCAGCTTTTGAACTGAGATTGGGAAATTAATACAAGACCTCAAATGCCAACTTTTAAACTGATGGAACTTTTATGAAGAAGCCATTAAGGATTGAAATGAAAGATTTATATGAAAGTTCTCATGAACCCTAACTCTCTGAGGAAAATGATCTCAGTATAATCTCTCTAATGCTCAGCAGTCCTATTTTTTTACTTGAAGCATGTTGTCTTCCTGAATAGAGAGAAAGAGAATAGAAATTCGAAAGATTCTAGTTTACAAGGTTTTTAGAAATGTGCATAAGGCATACTGCCGTGTACAACTCAAACCAACTTTATGAGAAATGGTGAACTCTTTACATTTAAGTCATGCTAACAAAAATCCATGAAATCCCCAACTGTCTCCATTCTAAACTCTCACATAAAAGGTGAATTCATGACAGTCAATGAGTTTATTAAGCACAGAAAGGGCATATTGAGACACTACTGTAAAGTGACTTTTTAAGTTGTAAGTAAAACTATGATACAGAAAGTTCTGACCTGTCATTACTAGCCCCATTTCTTTGTAGTAAATGTAAAATTATTTCAAGGAAATCCTATGTCTTTCATTTATAATCAGAATCTTTTAACAAGATAGTGCTATTAAAAACTTTTGGGGAGTCCCCTGTCTCCCTGATATTCAATTTATAACACAAGCGCTAATTATTTTTCCAATAATAATGAATCAACAATAATTTATTTAACTATAGGTGAATGTCTTTTCAAAAAAGCAATGATTCTTAGATAACTTGTCGATAGTGTTTTGATTTTGAGGCAAGTATTGGGTTGGTGGTTATATTCATTTTTGAGTTCATTTATCTTTTACATTGAGGATTATTTATAAAAATTTTGAAATTTGGAAGTCCACAAATGGTATTGGATGTTATTAATTAGGGAACATTTTATTTAATACTAGTGTCCTGGTGCACAGATCCGTGCACATTGAAAGGTAATTAATTAGAAGGTGGCTGTTGGGGCAGGACTGGGCAAGTCATCCGGACATGCCCTGGAGCCAACCTCCTTCCGTCCCTCCCCAACAGGCCACAGCTGGGGCAGCACCAGGGTTCGAAGGGTGTCTGTGAAGTGAGCGGGGGTCTCTGGCAGGTGGGGTCCCTCAGACATCCCCTGAGTGGTCCCAGATTGCGAGAGGGTGGTTCTCAGGTGACGCACCCCGGAACCAGAGAGGAGGGAGCCCGATTCTGGGGTGTGTCACCCGGGAACCGCCACTGCCAAGTCACCACAGCTCAGCAGCTCCTGCATTGAGTGTCTGCCCCCTGGTGATCATTTCGCATCATAGCTACCGGTCTATATATAGATTTCAGTAGTACAATCCTATTAATAAAAGCCTATGTGATCATCACGCCCTCACGCCATGACGCCCTCATGTCGCAAGGAGTGATCACCAGGAGGCTGTGTGTGCAGCGGACACGTGTGGGTGGGTGGGGCTGCGTGTGCACATGGGTGGACGGGGGCTTGACACTGCGTGCTTCGTGTGGAGGCGGGGCCCGTGGCGCGGGACCCCCGGCTCTGGCCTACCTCTTTGAGGCAATCCATTGTGGAGCCCTAGATGGGTGAGCAGGGCCTATCTCTTTGGGGCGATCAATCACAGGGCTCCCACACTGTGAGAGGGCACAGGCTGGGGGACCCCCTCCCGAGTGCATGAATTTCGTCCACTGGGCCTCTAGTGATATTATAAGCATTTACTCTGTGTCAGGCACTGAAAGGTTGCTTGGTACGTTGTATATGTTTTCTTTAATTATGACAGTAACTGTATCCAATAAGTATTATTCTCATTTTACAGGAAAAAAAAACATTGACGTGCAAAAGGCCTAAACATTTTGCTCAAGGGGTATAGGAGGCTAGTATAAGTTATTAAAGGAATACTTTCAAACTTCGGTCTGGGAAAATATCCATTCATTGCTTTCTGCAACTTTCTAAGTTAATTTATAAATAAAGTTGTAGTCTAATATTTATTTTTTATAAATGTGTAGCTTGAAATGACAAACATGACATAGAACATGGTATTTCTTTTTTATAAATCTTTATTGAACGTATTACATTATGTCCCTTTTCTTCTCCCATTGACCCCTTATAGCCCGCCCCCATGCCCCACCCCAGGCCTTTACCCCCCTATTGTTTGTGCCCATGGGCTATGCATATATGCATACAAGTTCACTGGTTGGTCTCTTCCCACCCACCCACCCCACCCGCCTTTCCTCTGAGATTCCACAGTCTGTTCCATGCTTTCATGTCTCTGGATCTATTTTGTTCATTAGATTGACTGATCACTGACTTGGGTTTAAAGAAAATAATTTAGAAGGTCAATTAGCTATTCTTATTTACATAAGCAAATTATCAAAACCGTCTTATTAGTCTATTATTTTTTGCCTAAATATTGTATACCATGTGGTACTGTTGCGACACAAGACAACGTTTATATCAGGACTCCATGTCTCTCTTTCAAACCCATTGGCTGCTTTTAAATGGGATTCATACACTTTCGACAGGTTGAAAATTAAGTGTGCTTTATAGATAGCTTCTTAAAGGGAATGGAGGTAAATTGTGAGTGATAGGTGCCAAACAGTTCATCTTTCATAGCACCAAATAAATCTCCTTTTTTATAAAGCACGGCTTTCTCTGGTTCCTGTCACAATGGAATTCTTATAGAACTAAGCAGCATTCCTCCTCCCCTCCCTCTTTCTAGTCAATATGATAGCGAAATGCTTTTTTAAAATTCAGATAAAAATTCATATAACTTAAATTCTCCCTTTTAAAATGCACAGTTCAGTGCTTTTTCGTTATATTCACAGGTTGTACCACCATCACCATGTAATTCCAGAACATTCTCATTGCCCCAAAGGGAAACCTGTACCCATTCCCAGCATTTCCCTATTTACTTCTCCCCCTACCTGCTGCCAAACTCTAATCTGCTTTCCTCTCTATAGATTGGCCTATCTAGATATTTCATATAAGTGGAATTATACAACATGTGGCCTTTTGTGTCTGGCTTCTCTCACTTAGCATGACGTTTTCAAGGTACATGCATGTTGTACCAGGTATCAGTACTTCCTTCCTTTTTTATGGCTGGATAGTGTTCCATTGTGTGGATAGGCCACACCTGTTGATCCATTCATCAGTTGATGGGCATTTGGATTTCCACTTTTGGCTGTTTTGAATAATGTCACTCAGAAAGCTATTGTATAAGATTTTGTGTGGGAATAGCTTTCATTTATCTTGGGTAGATAATTTAGGTCTTTCTTCTCCATTTTCATTGCTTTGTTCTCAGTGTAAGCCATACCCAGAACAACAGGAACTCTTCACATCCTTAACAGAGCTGGATAAACACTGGGCTGCCATGTCTCCCTAAACCTGATCTCCATTTGCCTGTCTTTTCCCAGAACCACCCATTGGCCAGATGCACCCCCCTCATGGCAGCGTCACTCCTCAGAAGAACAGCAACCTGCTGGTGATCATTGTGGTCACCGTTGGCATCATCACGGTGCTGGTGGTGGCGATCGTGGCCGTGACTTGCACCCGGCGCTCTTCAGCCCAGCAGAGAAAGTAGGTAACAGCTGGTTCCCAAAGGGAGAGAAATCCATGCTTGACCCAACTACCATCCTTTTGAGTTCTATTTTTGAAGGCTCTCTTCCTTGCTCTTTCATAATTCACACATGTTCCTTATCTCCTGGCCTGGGCAAGACCTTGCCTTTTGTCCAGTCCAGGCCCATTAACTGAACTGGGTGAGGGCTAGACTTACAGACTGAATAGTAGAATCCTGCAGATCCGCTTTGCATTTCTGTTTTATTTTACTTCTTGAGGCCAGATTCTTTCTTTTCAGTGACAGCAGGTGTTCCCGAAGTCGCACTTAGAGAATGGACGTCACCATGTCCCTACTTATGGCCCTCCCTGCAATTATCTATAAAAGGGTGAAGATGTGTGTTCCTCTAAAAGTGTTTATCACTTTTGGCAAGGAGGCCGGTAGGCATTTAATCAATGCTTGTCCCATGAATAACTATCTGCAGAATACCAAACACAATGTAGTTGCAATACTAGAGAGTGTTTATTTTGGAGGCAGAAGTTAGGGAGGAGGAGAGAGTCAGGAATTCAAAATGGTTCCTATTTCCTGGCTATGCTGATTCCAGAAAATAGTAAGAATTGAGGGGTTTAAAAGTATTTTCCTATTATGCAGCTCTAGGTTCTAGCACAAGCAGAGCTTGAGACATCAAAGTACAGAGTGTAGAGTGGAAAGGTTGTTTTCATTCCACTTTTCCCCTTCTAGCAATGCCCCCTAACCAGCATATTAACCTTGTGCCAGCCAGTCCGTTGTGGGAGTCAGCAGTAACCTCCTGGTTGTTCTCTGCATCCTTGCCAATTTAGTACTTTTTCATCCTGACTGTCTTACTGGATTGGCTATCGTAGGCTCTTCCCTTGTTATTTTTTTTTTTCTGGCATGGCATTTTTCTGTACTGAGGAGCAAATGTTTAACCTCCTAAATGAAGTCTACTCCACTTTAAATACTATATACAGGTCATTGCACTGATTTTCAAAGTTTTAAGAGAGATTCTCTAGCAAATAATTTTCCCTCTTCCCTTGCTAATACCTCAGCCTTTCTCTCTGGACAAATCCTGTGACTGTACTTGTTGATCTGTAGTGACTCTTCCAGCATCTTGAAGTGAGGTGATTAGAAACAGGATAAGGAATATATATGTACATATTGAAGAATGTTACATAGGGGGCTATAGATGCAGTCTTTGTATTTAATTTATATCTATGCAGGAAAAATTTGGTATCTAGCTCCATCCATCTGACTGACTATCTTGAAGCTGGTGTGCTAGTGCATTGTGTCCAAACAAGAAATCAGAAAATTGAGCTTAATAAGACCAGTCTTATACAGGAGCATTCTGGGAATTGATGGTCACCCACAGAGTTTCCGGAGTGCTGGGCACTTAGTAAGGCTCTGGGGTGGGGGTGGGGGGGAGAAACGTACTTAAATAAAACATTAAACAATCTCTTGGTCCAGCATTCCCGAGAAAGGGGTTGTGCAAGTGTAGATTGGTGGAACATCATGGCATTGGGCGTCTGAAGCAGAGCTGAGGAAGAGCCACAAAAGTGGAAGTGGGGAAGATATCATACCCAACTTAGCCTGTGTCACGATAGTTTTAAAAACATCGGTGAATTCACAAAATTAAATTTGCTAGCTCAACCATCTGTAGCACGGTATTTTGTTTTGTTTTCCATTTTTATCGTTGCAAGAAGGATATTTGAGGGTGATATTGACCTAATGAACTGGAATACTGGACATATTTTGTTCATCCGCAGAGAAAATGCCAGTCTTCTCAATGTGCAAAAGTGGGATTTGATACTATTTAGAGAAACTCTCAAATTATCTTAAATTCCACACTAAGCACCTTGGTAAGAACTTAAAGATTTTATTTAGAATGAGTAGAGGCTGAGCTCTGTATATGACTTGTTTTTAAAATTAAGGAATGAACAAAAGAACAAACCATTCCATTAATAACTGAAAACCCAAAGAAAGTAAATTGTGAGTTCCTGCACTTACTGCCTCCTTTTCCTCCAAAAGTCTCTCAGTATTATTTGGCACATTTTCACCATGTTTATGCATATACCTTTCTTCAGTCACAGACCATTGCCGTTCATTTTTGTCTCTTTGTATATGTTAACAGAAAAGGGAGAAAAAAGTTTCTCCTTCTAGATATTTCTGAGTTTTAAATCCGTTTTTCTTGATTTCATTGAGGACTCCTATCCCACCACCATTGAGCCTTTTAGAACAAATTAAGTAATGCAGATGAAAGCAAAATCGATTCCAATTTGAAAGAGAAATATTGCCCCTTATAGGGCTCTCAGGAAAAAAAAATGTGAGTTTAATGTAATTAATAAGGTGAAATAGGAAACCAATTCATGGACTTCTTCATTATCTCTCTATCTGGAAGTGTTGAGAATGTAAGTTTTCTTGGGGGGACGTGAATTACATTCAAATTGATTTGAAACATTTGTGTGTATACTATCAGTAATATCTCATTCAAGTCAATGTCTATGCATTTTATTAATAGTTAATCATATTCATATAGTTTATCATATATACCTCATATATAATAATGAGGTCGGTTATCTGATTGACTCACATTTTAGTTTGTAAGATTTTATTTGTTATGATATAAAATAACTAACAGAAGTTAGAACCCAAGATCTAGTTCTGATTCTACCATTCATGTAATTAAATCAATGGTATTTAATTAAACCTAAGGGAAGAGCTAATTCCTCTTAGTTTCCTCAAATGAGAAATAGGACTAAATACTTTTTATCATCCCCTCTACCTATAAACACTGAAATTCCCCATGGGATACTACTATATTATAGAAACACATAGCAGCATTTAGCTTCAAACAAATATGAAATAAAAATAATTTTTTATTTCTTCTTAATTATTAATTTAAAATGGTGTGCTACTTTGAAGAGATTCCCCTTACACATTTAGAATTAGTGAGATTATAGAATGTCATAACGTAGAAAAAGTACTTTATAAAAGCTATTTGATATGAGGTGTTCTGTGTTTCTAATAAAGCCATAACATTTTTCTGGCCAAAATATACAACATGGTTTGATAAGTCATGATGTATCCATAGGTACTAAAGACAATATATTTGACAATGAAAATATCCTGGGAATCCAAGGCACATAGTTATCACATGTGTAGATGATCAACAATTTGTCTGAATACATTAAATTTGAATATGTAAATAAAATTTAACACCTCCTATTTAATTTGTCAGGCACACAGCAAGTTTTACATATTAGTATGCATTCAAATCCTGACCAAAATAATTACTTTCATTACTCAGGATCAAATGTTTAAACTCTTAAAGGAAATCTACTCTATCTTAACTACTCTAGGTCACTTGCACTGATTTTCAAAGCTTTAACATTTTTGTCATTTTTCAGTATCTACCACACAGAGATTTTAACTCTCAACCACTTAGCACCCCAAAATATCTTAAATCCATCTCAGAAAATCCAGGTTTATTTTGGAATCTAAGACACATTTTCCCTGGGTTTCTAATACATTTTTTTTGTTTTTAATAGCAGTTAGTAGAATAAAAATAATCACTATAGAGAATTAGAAACCTTTGGGCAGGATTTGGATGGCAGGTTTAGGGCAGGTGTTTATACTTCCCAACATATTCTTCCTACTTAAATTATAATCATTTTTCACCTCCATTCAGGTCTTCTTTCTGCCTGCAGCCCTCCCTAAATTCCCAGTGGGCAGTGTTCCCACCTCAATCTCCCTTCAGATCTTGGACACATGGCTGTGTGACCAAGAGAATTACTACAGAGCTCTATGACTGCCTCTTGTGAACAATTTGAGCAAAGGATTCCTAAGCACAGAATGGGAACTTGAACTTACTAATTCATTATAATGTGGCAAAAGGACCTCTGAAATGATACTAGTCATGTAGGACTTTGAAGGGCACATTCAAATAAAATGTATACTCAATCAATGTTGGTTCTTACCCATTTAAGTCCCCAGCATACCGATTAAAAGTGAAAAGAAAAGAAACTCCTTTTATAATAATCGGTTATATGCAGGGTGAGCCAATAAAGAATCAAAGAAGAACCTAGCAAAAAAATATTTTTAAGCCCTGACCCGTGTAGCTCAGTTGTTTGGGTGTTGTTCCTTGCACCCAAGGGTTGCCGATTCAATTCCCAGTCAGGGCACGTGCCCGTTGCTGACTTGATCCCCAGTGGATGTTTCACTCTCACATTGATATTTTTCTCTCTCTATCTCCTTTCCTCTTTCTCTAAAAATCAATTTTTAAAAATCTTAAAAATACTCTTGTCAATAATAAAAATTCTTATTATTTAATTCAAGTAATTACTATGTGCTGAGTATGTGATCTGCATCATACAAAGTAACATCTGATTAATGTTGAGTCCTGAGCTATAACTCTTTCTGCAGGTCCCCACAGACTTACTATTATCATTAAAAATGTTCCTATTGAAGGCACAGCCTCCTGTAATTTGGCCCCCTCTGCTTTTTCAGCTTTCCTACCTACCATGTCCCAGTGCAGGCTCCTTAGTCCACGAATGCAGAAATTCCCAGGAGCCATGCCATTCTTCCTACATTTATTAAGCTCCCAATGTCTCACCTATTTTTTCATTTCTAGTACTTAGCAGAGTTCTTGACACCTAGTCAAGAAGGGGCAATTGTCTAGAGTTGGTATGACCTTGCTGCCAGGAAGTCAGCAAAATGCAGGTGCCTTGGGGGGGAATATTAGAGCAGGAAATACTGCCTTGTTTTTCTCATAAACTACTAGGTAGATATTAAGTCTGGGGTTCTTTGTGTTTTACACTCATCAGCATACTTCGAGAAAGACAAAGGAAAGACTGACTATTAAGGAAAATGTAACCAATCACCCCATTAAACATTTATTAATTACCTAATACGGGCAAGCATCTTATTCAGTAGTTGGGAAAACAGAACCACTCTCCGTGGCCTTGCAAGGTTACAAAGAGTTTTCCCTGAGAGTGGTTTGTCTGACCCGTTTAGCGATGATAAAAACAGTTATTCTTGCAAAGCCCTGCGAGTGAAGAATGTGAGAAGGAGGTACTTCTCTGGGCTTGTGACCAAAGTTAGATTTTAACTGTCTGAAGTTTGCCTTATGAAGAGATATTATTATTTTAAAAGTAGGAGAACCGACAAGTGGAGATTTTTAAAAAGTATAAAACTGTAGAACAGAGGTTGAAAACTCTCTGAAAAAAGGCCCAATAGTAAATATTTTAGGCTTTGCGGGACCTGTGGTCTTTGTTGCACCTATTCAACACGACACTGCAAAGTGAATGAGCTCTGCAGGATTCCAATAAAACTTTATTTACAAGAGCAGGCAGTGGGCAGATCTGCCTCCAGGCCATCGTTTACTCGCCCCTGCTGCAGAGAATGGCTAGCATGAGCATCCTGCTACTTTACTTAGCGTGCAGAGAATATTTGAATCTCACGAGGCCCAAGGAGAGACGACCACTGAAAAATAAACTTATTGCAAAATTCTTTTTTTAAATATATTTTTATTGATTTCAGAGAGGAAAGGAGAGAGAGAAACATCAATGATGAAAAAGAATCATTGATTGGCTGCCTCCTGCAAGACCTACACTGGGGATTGAGCCCTCAACCTGGGCATGTGCCCTGACTGGGAATCAAACCGTGACCTCCCAGTTCATAGGTTGATGCTCAACCACTGAGCCATGCCGGCTGGGCCAAAATTTTATTGAGTCAAGTAAGAGGCATTTGAATCACACTCCCAAGGGTGTTCTTCTCTTTTCAGAAGGAAGGGTCTTACTGAGTTTGAATCCAGACACTCAGTGGCCCTAAGGGGAAAGTGTTTTCTTCTCTGAAGAACGTCCCCATGTGATCTTTTGTCCACAAAGAGCAAGCTTCCCGTTTGCACGTTAAATTACACAGCGGAGGTGTAGACCTCCTTCTAAGCTTCTACCTTGGCTGTTGGCACAGACTCTGGCCTTTTTATTTCTATTTGCCTTTTCCAAGCAGTTCCTTCCTTTATCTCCTAAGCAGATGCTGCAGTCAGTTACCTTATGCCTCGCTCCAAAGACTGGCATATGGCTCCATCGAAGCCATTGTCAGCGTGGGCTCGGATTTGCAGCTGGGGAAGCTGAAGGGAGGTGCTCCCTGGCAGGCCCCCGAGACCCTGGGGATTCAGCACCACATCTCCTGCCACGTGGTGACGCTCCTGGGAAAGGGGAAAAGGCGGCCAACACAAGCCTGCCAATTCCTGGCTTTCACAGGTTTCCTCCTGGGAGTGCTTCTGTTTCCTTCCCCCCCAATGTCTCACCTATTTTTTCATTTCTAGTACTTAGCAGAGTTCTTGACACCTAGTCAAGAAGGGGCAATTGTCTAGAGTTGGTATGACCTTGCTGCCAGGAAGTCAGCAAAATGCAGGTGCCTTGGGGGGGAATATTAGAGCAGGAAATACTGCCTTGTTTTTCTCATAAACTACTAGGTAGATATTAAGTCTGGGGTTCTTTGTGTTTTACACTCATCAGCATACTTCGAGAAAGACAAAGGAAAGACTGACTATTAAGGAAAATGTAACCAATCACCCCATTAAACATTTATTAATTACCTAATATGGGCAAGCATCTTATTCAGTAGTTGGGAAAACAGAGCCACTCTCCGTGGCCTTGCAAGGTTACAAAGAGTTTTCCCTGAGAGTGGTTTGTCTGACCCGTTTAGCGATGATAAAAACAGTTATTCTTGCAAAGCCCTGCGAGTGAAGAATGTGAGAAGGAGGTACTTCTCTGGGCTTGTGACCAAAGTTAGATTTTAACTGTCTGAAGTTTGCCTTATGAAGAGATATTATTATTTTAAAAGTAGGAGAACCGACAAGTGGAGATTTTTAAAAAGTATAAAACTGTAGAACAGAGGTTGAAAACTCTCTGAAAAAAGGCCCAATAGTAAATATTTTAGGCTTTGCGGGACCTGTGGTCTTTGTTGCACCTATTCAACATGACACTGCAAAGTGAATGAGCTCTGCAGGATTCCAATAAAACTTTATTTACAAGAGCAGGCAGTGGGCAGATCTGCCTCCAGGCCATCGTTTACTCGCCCCTGCTGCAGAGAATGGCTAGCATGAGCATCCTGCTACTTTACTTAGCGTGCAGAGAATATTTGAATCTCACGAGGCCCAAGGAGAGACGACCACTGAAAAATAAACTTATTGCAAAATTCTTTTTTTAAATATATTTTTATTGATTTCAGAGAGGAAAGGAGAGAGAGAAACATCAATGATGAAAAAGAATCATTGATTGGCTGCCTCCTGCAAGACCTACACTGGGGATTGAGCCCTCAACCTGGGCATGTGCCCTGACTGGGAATCAAACCGTGACCTCCCAGTTCATAGGTTGATGCTCAACCACTGAGCCATGCCGGCTGGGCCAAAATTTTATTGAGTCAAGTAAGAGGCATTTGAATCACACTCCCAAGGGTGTTCTTCTCTTTTCAGAAGGAAGGGTCTTACTGAGTTTGAATCCAGACACTCAGTGGCCCTAAGGGGAAAGTGTTTTCTTCTCTGAAGAACGTCCCCATGTGATCTTTTGTCCACAAAGAGCAAGCTTCCCGTTTGCACGTTAAATTACACAGCGGAGGTGTAGACCTCCTTCTAAGCTTCTACCTTGCCTGTTGGCACAGACTCTGGCCTTTTTATTTCTATTTGCCTTTTCCAAGCAGTTCCTTCCTTTATCTCCTAAGCAGATGCTGCAGTCAGTTACCTTATGCCTCGCTCCAAAGACTGGCATATGGCTCCATCGAAGCCATTGTCAGCGTGGGCTCGGATTTGCAGCTGGGGAAGCTGAAGGGAGGTGCTCCCTGGCAGGCCCCCGAGACCCTGGGGATTCAGCACCACATCTCCTGCCACGTGGTGACGCTCCTGGGAAAGGGGAAAAGGCGGCCAACACAAGCCTGCCAATTCCTGGCTTTCACAGGTTTCCTCCTGGGAGTGCTTCTGTTTCCTTCCCCGGCTTCTAACTTGAATTGACAGAGAAGAGAGAGGGCCATTGAGGCGAGGCACTCACATTTGCCTTCTAATTCTGTTCCATAGGAAACGGGCCACCCACAGTGTTGGCAAAAGGAAGGGCAGCCAGAAGGACCTGCGGCCCCCTGATCTTTGGATCCATCATGAGGAGATGGAGATGAAAAACATTGAGAAGCCATCAGGCACCGACCCTACCGGGAGGGACACCCCCATCCAAAGTTGCCAAGAGCTCACACCAGTCAGTCACAGCCAGTCAGAAACCCAAATGGGGAGCAAAAGCACCTCTCATTCAGGTAATTCTCCCCTCTGCCGTCAGAAAAAGAACCCCACAGGGTGTTCTCCACTCCCTCTTTTGTGGAGGTAACCTTCCCACTAATTCGCAGTTATTTACCAATAGTTCAAATAACCTGATATACATGTGGTTGATTAACCTGGTTTACTTTCTATCCCATCATCCTGTTGCCTGCTTTTTATGATTGCCATGCTATTTGAAACTTCTAAGAGGTAGGAGGTGATACCATTGGGAAACATTGAAATGTGAAGCTTCAATGAATTGATGGCTTTTTGTTAAATCTTGAACAAAACGTTTGTCAAGGCAATAAAAGCTGAAGCTATTGTACACTTCTTAGCTCCCTGTGTCTGTGGGTAATTGGAAGTTGATTATAAATTTGCTGTCAATTCCTTGCTTTAAAAAATCACATCAAGGACACTTGAAATATGAAAACATTGACAATTCTGTTTCTTTGCCTTGATTACCATGAAGATCAACTCTCATCCCCATGCAATCATGTGATATGATCACTAGCCTAGTTCGATGAAGTCTATTTGAAGGCTCTGTAGGTGTACAAAGTGATCTTAAGAAAACCCCCAATGTTTAATAAAATGATACAGAACAATCCGTGTTCAGGTATAACTAAGAAATCTAGAGAGTTGGCGGCAAGGTATTTCACTTTCTGTGGGTCCTCATGTTTTTGAAATGCTTATGGGGAGTTGAAAAATTAACAAGTGCTCTCATCAGAAAATTTCTTCATTATACTCATGATATGTTTATAGAATGAGTAGCTGTGGTTTTTAAACCAAATAAAAATATTTTAGTTGTTTAAATGTGTAACTGAATAACTAGACTTTCTCAGCTTGGACTGTCTAACAAGGACTTCAGTTACTGATTTTCAATGATAAGTTTTTGAGTATTCCTTTTCTAGACCTTAAATAATATCTCACGCAGAGTCTCCAACTTTGCTGTCACATTCAGTTATTAAATGCATTTTAGTTCCCTTAAGCACTACAGTGTGACACTTGAAGATTCCTCCTTGTGGCCAGCTAGACTTTTGGCTCTGAAGGCTGAGGTCATAATTGTTCTTTAATCCTCTAGCATCGGGAGTGAGATTGAGTGATTAGAGTGGGACAGTCTATTTCAGACACACATTTACCTATTCCTCCTACTTAGCTCTTCGTCCTGGCTATGTTATTTTCTGGGTAATGAGGGTAAGGTGAATTTTATTAGTGAGGGTAGATCGCTTGGGTCACAAGACATTAGATGTTACAACTTAATACATTAAAATGAAAAAGGCATTGGTGTGTCTGGCTAGAAATGATACAGAGAGTTGACTCATTGAAGAAAGTGTGTCTCTCAGGAGTACTGTTTTTCTTTTAGGTCAGGACACTGAAGAAGCAGGGAGCTCCATGTCCACTCTGGAGAGGTCACTGGCTGCACGCCGAGCCACCCGGGCAAAACTCATGATTCCTATGGATGCCCAGTCCAGCAATCCTGGTGAGTCAAGATGGTGCCACACCGAGGAAATGAAGTGGTTTCTTCTTGTATCTTTTCTATATCAATTATCAAAAAGTGATTAACGTTTTCTCTGATCTTTCTGGGTAAATGGACTTAATGAAGAATGACTAAAACCGTATTATTTATAATTAGAAGTCAGAATTTTCACTCTGTTATTGAATTTGTTATATACAATGAAATGTCCTGGCAAACCCGCTACATATTTAAGAAATTGTAAATTATATATATATA